TGATATTATTTTTTTTTTATTTTTTTTTTCTTTTTTTTTTTTTTTTTTTTTTTTTTTTTTTTTTTTTTTTACCAGACCAGTTTAAAAAAATGTTTTAGCTTCTTTTAGCTTTCACTGGAAATACTGGTCCAGTCAAATAACCAGAGCTCCTTCTCCCAGTGCATTCTTCTGCTGGCGCAGGATACTTTCTTTCCTCTTGGAAGTTATAAACCCAGGAGGAACTGGGCCTCCCTTAACCGCCGAAAGCACTATTTTGTTTATGAATCACACCAAGAGGTAATTAAAAAGAAACCTTTCGGGTACAGCTTTAGACGTTTTTACGACAAAGCCTGCTCAGAACGGACGAGAAGCAAACACGTCCTGTGACATTTACTAACAAGAAGCTCCTCAAAGTGTTTAACATCACAGAGCATTACAGGAATCTGATGGGTCAGACTTTAAAAGTATGAAGGAAAAAACTCAAGGAGAAGTTCTTATGCAACAATGATGTAATTAGTACAATTTTTTTTTTACTTACCTGTAAACAGCTCTCTTGTCAGACTCAAGCTGGGCCTGGGGGTCAAGGGTCACACTGACAGAGTTATTTCCTGCTGCAGAGGCTGCTGGGATATGGACCTGTGGGGTCTTGGAGTTCTGCTGAGTTGTGCCCGTCATCTGGCAACAAGAGACAAAAAAAAAAAAAAAAAAACCCACAAAGTTAATGACGATTTGAGCTTAGAACTCCCACAAAGTGTTTGGGTGCTGATCAGTCAGAGTCAGAGCTGGGAAACAATATTCTGCTTCCATTTAGTAAATGACAGAACACAACAGCTTCATTACTGGTCCCCGTTTCGCCAAAACGGCACCACAGATTGGTGCAAAGGGCAGTGGAAAACTAAAGAGGCCTTTAATGTGCTGAGAGAAAACAACGAGTTTGGACCCAAAAGCAAAAAAACAACAACAAAAAAAAAGTCACTTTAGGAAAATAAAGAGGAAAATAACATTACTGTATAATAGTAGATTAATACACCATGGTACCTTACTGCGCCATATCACTACTGTAAAAGTGTTTCCTTCAATCGGTTGATTCTCCTATGCACCGTCAATTAAACAGATAATTATTTCAGTGACATTCACTCAAATTCAATGTTTTATCATTTGATTTGATTCCATTTGGGGTAAAAACAAAAAAAACAAACAAAAAAAAAACAGATTAATTCAGAATAAAACTGTTTATTTTGTCAAAAGGCTGCGATTCATCCTGGGGGACCATGGATACTCCCATCCAGGTTTCAGTTCACGTCAGTCGTCTCAGCTTTATTGTCAGTTTTAATGTTCATGTGAAAATATAATCAAGCTACGCAAAGTAACTAGAGAAAAACTGCTCAAGTCGGACCGGCGCTTATTAAACCGACATTAAACGTGGTTCCGACTTTTGGTGTGGAAACTCATCATTCAGCATAAATAACGTAACAAACCGCTTCCTGCGTTTCACGTTACTTTTTTTTTTCTGAGGGCTTGATAAGTCAGCGACCACGTCCTCCAAACCGAGTCCACTGCATACCCCGCTTTCCTCTCTCTCTCCATCAATCACTCCATGGAAATGGGTCTAACGTCTCCCAACCCCCTGTTTTTTTCTTTTTTTTTTTTTTTTTTAGGCAGACTGAGGTAGCAGGAAGCTTCAAGTCTTAATCCCAACAACAAATGGGAAATAAATTACCTTCTTCACACTTAACTAGTTCTCATTTGCATTCGTGGAGTGCGCCTGTGCTGCCGCTCTGGACCTCTCCCCCTGGCACTAATCCTCCGGGCGACACCGGAATGCGGACGAGGAGGAAATAATAGGCGATCAGAGGAGGACGCCGCGCGGTGCAGCCGCCGGACCTTCGGTACGGCGCTTCAGGGCGCGCATCCATTTTAAGGTGGCGGTTTGTTTCAAATGTAGGCCTTCCTGCATTATCCAGCAGCCTCCATAATTTCCACAGGATTTCTACTTGTCTCTTCAGATACTTCCATTCATTCATGATTGGCACAAAAGACATAAAATTTTGAGGGGGTGTATTTTTCTAAACTGGAAGGTGAATACAATGTATAATTTTACATTTGGGGCACAGATTACTCAATTATTCCACACAAGATTTGAATTATTTAAAACAAACATTCAGGTGACTCGTGCGCGTTTTGAAACCGTTAGCATGTTTCTGGCGACACATTCGACTATTTTAATTAGAAATGGCAGAACTCACTGAAATGAGTGGGCATTGTGTTACGGACCTCGTCATATCATGACGCCCACTACTGATATGACTGTAATTATCATCAGTCAGCTAATTTTTAATAATAAAAAAAAAAAAACTAAGATTGAAGTTCTAGAAGCTAAAGGTTATCCTTTGTTGTCTACTTAAAAAACTAGTTTCACGTGTGTTTGAAATTGTTGTCCTGTTGAAACTCCCGTCTCTGTCCTATTTTTAAACATCTGGCGGGGTGTGTGAGGGGAGACCGGAGAACTTATAGGTAGACATATGCTTTTATTATTCCGTTTACTGTGTGGAATACCATTGCAAAACTAGTATAGAATTTTTGTTTTTGTTATATCGGTCATTTCAAAACAATTTCAGTTTTAAAGATTTCCCACTGGGGCTTATGTAAGGGTTATATAAACCCTTACATAAGGTTGTAATGTAACTGTAATCATTACTTACTCATGTCACATGCATCCTGCAGAATGAAACATGTTTTACAGAAGTAAAACTGAATATGCTACACTGATTAAAGATTATTTAATTTGTACTTCTGTGGGTTATTTTTATTATTTATTTGTAAGTAGAAAAAGTGGGAATCTTAGTTTTCCCAAAGCGATTGCTAAACTCTATTCTAATGGGATTGTGAAATGAGACTTTACAAATATTTTTAATGTTGTGTGAACTAACTCTTTGTTAATCCCACTCTTAACTTCTTGCTCTCACCAATACTTTTAAGAAGATTTATTTTTATTTTTTTTTCCCAGTTTTTGCAAATACATTTTGTAATGAAGCACGAAATGATCCACAATCTGACAGCTCAACCTTTCCTTTGGCGACGGGCTGCTGCTGAAGACGTCACTCTCACCTGTTGACTTTCCTGGTACGTTGGAGGAGGAACGCTCTGGGTGGCCATCATTGTCACTGCAGGCAGTGGGGAATCATGTTGCATCATGGGACAGCTTCACATCGAGACTGGAAGACACACAGAGGGAAGGAAAGAACACCGAACATGAATCGGGTTTGAAAGGCGCTTTTTAAAATCTATCTCACCGGTAGCCACCAGGTGCTGCTGTGACTGAGTAATCAAAAATGTAACACACACACACACACACACACACACACACACACACAGCATCTCAGTCTTCTTCTCCTGATCTCAACAGACTGGTTCATTTCTTTCTCTTTTCTCCCGAGTCTGCCTCTGCATGGTGCTGCGCAGAACCAGCAGACAAGTCAGGATGATGTATTAATACGGAGTGATCAAACGACGCAACCAAGCAGAAAGAAAACAAATGAGAACATCCTCAATCACCAAGGCCCGTTCCCACAAATATTCAGCAAATACCGAGCAGCGGCAGCGGGCCTCTAACGGCGCCACAGACAAACCCCAAGTATTTGTTTCCCAATTACAGAGAGTCGGGCCTGTTTACTAATTAGAGCGGGCTCAAACGCCACGCTCCACGACGGAGCCGCAGTAGGACAGTCGTCTCTGTCAGTCGGCTGCCGGTGTTGTTGTTGCACTTTAACCAAGCAAGTCATGAAGGCTAATTAGGGCTCTTCGGGCCCCCACGGGGTCGAGGACAGTACCTTGTGGAACTCTGCCGTAACCACTGGCCCCACCCCCACTGATGGAGCTAATTGGCTTGGGGGGACCGTTACACACACACACTGCCACACCAACAGACCCCCTGCCCGACCGCCAACAGCACACACGCACACACTC